TGGGGCTCTGCATTGAGGTGGAACAAGGGGTGCAGAATATTGGGGGGCACCAAGGGGTGCAGGATATTGGGGTGCAGGATATTGGGGCTCTGCATTGGGTTGCAGGATATTGGGGTGCACAATATCGGGCCTCTGCATTGGGGTGCCCCGAAGGGTGCAAAGTATCAGGGTGCTGTGAAGGGTGCAGGATATTGGGGGGCACCAGGGGGGTGCAGGATATCGGGACTCCGCATTGGGGTACACTAAGGGGGGGCAAGATATTGGGGTGCACAATACTGGGGCTCTGCATTGGGGCGGACCAAGGGGTGCGGGATATCGGGGTGCCCTGAAGGGCTGTAGGATATCGGGGCTCCACATCGTGCTTCAGCTCATTGCAGCCAGGACAGCAGCCCCCTCCTCATCCTCCTCCTCCCCATTTTGGGGTGTTTCTCCCAGCAGCCCCCCCACCCCAGGCAGCCCTGCCTGCTGCTCAGCTGCCTGTGCGCAGCGGTAGCACCGATGCTGGCCTTCACCCTCCTCTTCCTCCTCCTCGGCACCCTCCTGGTGGGTGACGCCGGCCGGGGGGGTCCCCGAGCCCCCTGCCCCGACGGTTGGGTGGGCTTCGGCCGACGCTGCTACTTCGCTTCCGAGGCCGAATGCAACTGGTTGGCGCGCTGGGACCGCTGCCAGACCCTGGGGGGGCCACCTCGGCCGGCATCGACTCCACGGCCGAGCTGGCGAGGGGTGTGGGGGTGTCTTGGGGTGATTTGGGTTTTTCTGGGGGGAGGGAAAACCCCCCCATCATCCCATTTTTGCTTCCCGTAGGACTTTCTGCACCCCTACAAAGGGCTCACGGCGCATTGGCTCAGCATCCACCGCAACGGCACCATCTGGATGCGGCCAAGCGGTGCTGAGCGTAACCTCCAGGTGAGATTGGATGGGGGGGGAAGGGGGAAATTTTGGGATGGAGGATGGATAAAAACCCGCCCGATCCCACCTCTTACCCCCCTCCCCGTGCAGGTAGCCCATCCGCAGGGAGAGCAGCTGCGCTTATTCAAACGAGAAGGGGCTGAGCAGCTCCCGCTGCAGCACCGAGGCTGCATCCTGCACTGGCAAATAACCCACATGGGGGGGTCCTGATGTTGAATAACCCACACGGTGGGGGGGGGGGGGGCCCGGGGG